GATCTGCAGGCCATAGGTTTATCATTTGTGACTGACTTACCTTTAAATTACTCTTCTTTATGCCCTAGCAAAAGATTAAGCTTTTTTTTTTGTCAAATCAGAGACATTTTTTTCCCTTTCCCCAAAGCCCCAGTGCACGGTTGTACATCCTAGTTGTAAGTCCTTCTAGTTCTTCTGTGTGAGCTGCTGCCACAGCATGGCAACTGACAGACGGGTGATGTGGTTCCGTGACCGGGAAATGAACCCAGGCCACTGAAGCGGTGAGAGTGCCAGACTTTAGTCACTAGGCCATCACGGCTGGCTCCAGAGAAACTTATATTGTATTTACAGTTTTCTTCTTAATGTTAAAAAAAAAAACTATTGGGAAAAGAACATATTGAAAAGAAAAAATACTTTGCTCGATTTTGTTATGAATCTTGTAGTTAGAAAATTGAAAAAGTGCACTAATAAAAAGAATATAGTAATTTTTTTTTTCCTGAGGAAGATTTGCCATGAGCTAACATCTGTGGCCAGTCTTCCTCTTTTTGTACGTGAGCCACTGCCACAGCATGGCCACTGACAAATGAGCAGTGTAGGTCTGTGCCTGGAAACCTGACCCAGGCCACCAAAGCGGGATGTGCTGAACTTCACCACTAGGCCACTGGGGCTGTCCCTAGTGATTCTTTACTTCTCTAATATTTTGGGAATAAGGTGATTGATCTATTTCTGTAAACTTCATAGTTTACCAGAGCTTAATATATTAACCTCCAATTTTTCCTATTACCAGTAATTACTCCATTTTGGAAAGATATCTAAAATATGTGTCGCATGCCTGCTCCTTCTCTGTTGTCCCCCATCTAGAGAATCAGCACCTTCATGCACTTAGCTGTCAATGCCAAATTTTTGAGTCACAATTGATACCTTGCCCCTATCACAGCAGGTCAAGCACCAAGTCCTGGCAGTTCAATTTACTAAATATACGCAGAGTTCTGTTCCTTGACATTGTTCTCACCCACCTCTAAGCCACTGTAACCCCTTACCTGGACTCTCCAGTAGCCTCCCACTTAGGGTGTTAGAGTTAGCAAATAAAAACATAGGATGCCCAGCAAAATTTCAATTTCAGATAAGTAGCAAATAATTTTTTTTAGCATAAGTCCTAAATATTGAAGGAGATATACTTACACTAAAAAAAAAAAAATTATTCACTGTTTATCTGAAATTCAAAGTTAACTGGGTGCTCTGCATTTTATCTGGCAACTCTACTCCTACCAGTCTCACTTCAACTCCTTGGGTCCTCTCCAATCCATTTTCCACACCACAGTTATGATGATTCCTTTTTTTTTTTTTAAAGATTGGCACCTGAGCTAACATCCGTTGCCAATCTTCTTCTTCTCTTTTCTTCTTCTCCCCAAAGCCCCCCAGTACATAGTTGTATATTCTCGTTGTAGGTCCTCCTGGCTCTGCTATGTGGGACGCTGCTTCAGCATGGCTTGATGAGCAGTGCCATGTCCACGCCCAGGATCCAAACCAGCAAAACCCCGGGCCACTGAAGCAGAGCACACGAACTTAAGCACTCAGCCACAGGGCCGGCCCCATGATGATTCTCAAAATTCCTATTTGATTATGCCACTTTTCAGTTTTCACCAAAATTCTCCATTATCTTTAGGATTAAGTCCTTTATTCTTTCTTTTTTTTTTTTTTTTTTTGGTGAGGAAGATGGGCCTTGAGCTAACACCTGTTGCCAATCCTCCTGTTTTTGCTTGAGGAAGATTAGCCCCTGAGCTAACATCTGTGCCAATCTTCCTCTATTTTGTATGTGGGTCACCACCACAGCATGGCTTGATGAGTGGTGTAGATCCACGCCTAGGATCCAAACCTGTGAACCTGGGCTGTCAAAGCGCAGCACGCTGAACTTAACTACTATGCCACTGGGCTGGCCCTTCAAGTCCTTTATTTATTCTTAATATGGCCTTCAAGGCCCTGCCAACCTCTCCAGCTCCATCTCATTGCACTTGCAGCCCCTCTTGCCTTAGATTAGAGCCTTCAGCATGCCAGCCCTACATGGAATGTACTTCCCTTCCTATTCATCCCATCCATGCTTAGTCCTTAAGCCTTGGCTTCAGCATCACTTCCTCCAGGAAGCACTCCCTGATCTCCCAGGCTAGGTTAGTTCCCCTCACAATACTAACTCAATACTTACTTGCCCCTCTAGAGTGTAAATTCCAGGAGAGCAGGGAGTATGTATTCCTAGGTCATTCCTCTGGGTATCTAGGTCATTACTAGTTAGCCTCAGTGCCTGGTAAAATGCCCGGCACAGAGTGTTCATTTATAAATGATGAATAAACACTATACATAACTTGACTTTTCTCAAAGATTGGGTTCAGCACTACATGAGCTGTTATCCTATTGTTCTGAGACATACTGCTGCTTCCACTGCATCTCTCCGCTCTTGCCTCTATCTGCATTATTCCTCCCAAGACAGTTATGCTTTTGGAACCAGTTTGGCTCTTTTTTTTTAATGTGGTTTTTCTTTCATTTTTCCTCAAGATTGTCTGTTGACAATCGCTTCTTGCTTGGGGGAAGGACAGGAAAGGGAACTCCTGATTTGTTTTTTTCTTCTCTGCTATTGACTGAGAACCCAGATAACAGAAGTTCTCAGAATAATATTTACCAGATTTTGAAAGAGAGACTGAAAGATTCTCCTAAAAGCAAAACTCCTACGTTTCAGTGGGTTCCTGACAATCTTTTCGCTTTCTTGTTTTTTTCTGGCTCTTTTATGTTGCCAGATACAAGATTTCCAGATAATCAAGAGGCCACTGTATTTCTTCCACTGTTCAGATACTGGGAATTTACAATCCTTTCCACAAACTTCATACTGCTAGATTAATCTTCGTGAAGGGCATATTTCATCAGTTCATTCTGCCGAAAGCCTCATTGCTTGTAGAAAAAGTTAAATATTGTTTTCTTAACTTTTCCCAGGGCTTAAAATGTCCCAGACGCTTAAACACTTTCATGCATTATTTTCCTGAACCTTCCTAATAACTCTGTAAGGTAGCTACGACAGGTGTATTGCATTACACCCACACATTTTACTCAAGTTCAACCATATGACTCAGGAGAGAGGGAGAGAGTGAGCAAGAGCGAGTTCTCTAGAGCAAAGCACTATGACAATACTCCTGACACCCTTGGGGCTTCTGGTTTGGAGCATAAAGAGATAGAAAAAAGTTTTAAGGGTAACTTGCATTAGAGCAAAGCACAGGCTGGGCCAGGACTAGGAGAGCAAGGCACTTGCCTTGGGAACAAAATTTAAGAGAAAACCCAAAACTCACTAAAGAAGATCAATAATATTTTAATGCAATATTTTAAAAGACCAAAATTAATGCAAAATATACATGAAGAATAAAATATCAGAATTTTAAATAGAGGCAGAATCTAACCCTGCACTTGCTGGACTCACCTCCCCCTGATCCCAGCCCTGTTCCAGAGCCTAAGGCACGGGTTCAAATCTCAGTTCTGTCATTTTCTGGTTGTGTGATATTTGACAGTTTTTTAACCTCTTTGTCTCTCAGTTTCTTCACCTGTAGAATGGGGATAATAATGGTATTTACCTCACAAAGTTGTTGTGAGGATTAGATGAGCCCAGCACACAGTAGATACTAAGTAAATGTTGGCTATCACTTTTGGGGAAACAAACGTCCTAAGAATCCTGTTGAGTCCTGATGGTTTTATATCTGTTGTCATGATTGAAAAGACCTCAGAACTGTAGAAGTGTCTTGTACAACTCCCACCATCTCTGTCATGTATGCATAGCATGTATCAGCTTCTCCTGAAGAAGGATTAAAAGAATTGACTGAAAAGTAGGGGCCTGCCTGGTGGCCCACCGGTTAAGTGCGCATATTCTGCTTCCAAGTCTGGGGGTTCGGATCCCAGGTGCAGACCTACACACCACTGGTCAAGCCATGCTGTGGCAGGTATCCCACATATAGAGTAGAGGAAGATGGGCATGGATGTTAACTCAGGGGCAGTCTTCCTCAGCAAAAAAAAGAGGATTGGTGGCAGATGTTAGCTCAGGGCTAATCTTCCTCAAGAAAAAAAAAAGAATTGACTGAAAAGTATGAACACCTCACCTTGGATTGGAGGGAAGTTAATCTCTTTTGCAAGTCTGTTAATTCCGCCTAACCATCAAGCAGAGGGTGTATATTCTGAGTATTTCTTGAAGCTGATTTTGAAGATAATTTAAAAATTGCTCTGAATGATGACAACATTGGGGAAGTGTATTCTTTCCCAGGGTGACTAAATTTAAGACAAAAATCATATTAACAAGGGGATATGGGGAGGAAAAAAACTCTCAAATAAGAAGCGCCCAGGGGAAGCCCTCCTAGAAACCACCCGGTGCCAAAGTAGAACTAACCGACCACCCCTGCGTTGGTTCCCCTCCGGCACATCGGATGATTTCTATCACAGAATAACTTTTTTGTACTTAGTGGTTTATGAGTTTATCTCCCCAACTCGACTCTCCGGGAACAGTGGCCAGGTCTAGTTCATTTTTGAATACCCGACATCAAGCACTACGTCAGGCACGGGACACTAAACACGTTTAACAAACAAATGCATCGATGAATATTGGTTTTGGCACATTTAGCCCAAAGGTTACCTCTTTCAAACAATATGGTGAGGGAGAGGGGAAAGGAGCCCCGCACGGCATTTCCTCTTAGCGCGGTGAGAAATCATAGTTTCCCAATTATTGTCCGCGCAGAAAGGGTTTTGTGCACAGAAGGGTTTACAGCATCTTAGCGCCGTCTGCGGCCTGCGCAACCAAGTCCGCGGATCCGAGCCGAGCCCGACGGCCCGCCGCGCACGCGCAGACGGGGAGGGCGTGCGCCTGCCCTCCGCCCCTCCGCCCTCCAGGTGGCGCTGGCGGCGCCGCCGCCGCCGCCGCCACCGCCTCTTGGGCCAGACCCAGGCGGCGCTGGCCGCCTCGTGGGCCGCGGGTCCGCCTCCGCCGCGCGGAGGGCGTGGGTTCCCGGCTCCCGGAAGCGGCGGCCGCGGCGCGGAGCCGAGCGGCGTCGGTCCCCGGGGCTGCAATGCGCGGCGGCCGGAGGCTGTGAGCTGAGCGCGGCGGCCCGGCCGGGGCCGCTGATCGGCGGCGTGTTGCGGCGGCGGCGCCGGCGGCTCCGGCTCCTCGGGGCGTGGCGTGGCGGCGGCCGGGGTGATGCTGCTCAAGCTCTTACAGCGACAGACCTATACCTGCCTGTCCCACAGGTATGGGCTCTACGTCTGTTTCGTGGGCGTCGTTGTCACCATCGTGTCCGCCTTCCAGTTCGGAGAGGTGAGTAGCGGCGCGCGGGCCCCGGTGCGGGCGCCGGGAGCCCGTACGACCCCGCGGCGCCCTGAGCCCCTGTCCTCGCCGAGCCGCGGGGCGCCCCGAGCCCTGGCGCGCTTCTGTCCTGCCTCAGCATCCTCCCTGCAGCCCGGGGACAGGTACAGAGCCCGGCCTTGCCCTGGGGGCGCCGAGAGCTCGATCTCCTCCCCGGGCCCCGCTTTCAGTCCCTGGGGTCGAGATCTCATGCTTCCGACGGTTTGGGGGCATAGGCCCTCGTTCTGCAGGTTCCCTTTCCCTCCAGGTGCCTTCTACAGGGTCCCCAAGTCATTTGACTTTCCCCCTCAGGCCTTGTTCTCCTCCGCGAAGCCCCTGCCGGGACCTAGGCTTTATGTCTCTTCCCCTTCCTAAACTCTCATTCCCTGGCGCTCCTACAGTTTTCCTCCTCAGGTGTCCCCCTCCTAATCTTTTCACCTTGACAGAGGCGCTTTATCTTCTTAATCCCGTTCCTTCTCCATTTTCAAAACTTTTGTCCAAGAGGTCTGTGTTTCTTTGCATGCGAATTTGCAGTGGGGAGAGTGTATTGGCCCAAAATTTAAAGGACTTATGTGTGAAAGGGGATTTTCTTTTTTTTTCACTTTTGCTGTGTTATTTGGGACAGCTGTACATCCTCACTTAGTCCATAGAGGATCTATTGGTAGAAGTGCACACGCTGATAAGAGAGATTTCTTGGCAGTTGCAGACACTTTTCCCTGTCCTGAGATCAGCTGAGGCTAGGGCCCCGTCATGTGACCAGGACAAGGGCACCGGACCTCTTGGGAGCCAGCACAAGCCCTGTGTGTCATGTGATATGCTAGTAATTTAGACCCCAGATCACACAAGCCTGGCCTTTCTTGATCTGCTTTTAGTTAATATACAGTAAAGTGGTTTCGTTAGACGGTTAACTCTTAAGAGGGGCCAAGCAACAGGTTTGGGAGGGTGGAAGCACCCAGGTTTAATAGATTTTGTGCCCCTCTGGATGTATACTTTCAACATTGTCTTAAATAAAATACCTCTTTGATTTAGGTTGGATAGTTGTGTCAGTATTGACAGCCTAATATGGTTTTTTTAATCATAAACGTGTGCAGAGACAAGAGAACACCACTTTAAAAATTGTGTCTATAGCGACTGGGAGAAAAGCTATATTTCAAGTTGTTTGAAATCTATCTCCTTGTTTTAATTTTTTAAAATTTTTTGTAGGCGGTTGTAAAGGTTTTCAAATTAACAGGATGGGTTTTAGAAATGCCACGGTATACATTTGCTTGAAGTCTGTACCCGTGCTGGATTGTAAGCTCCATAAGAGAGGGTGTTGTCTGTTTACTGTACCCCTGGCCCAAGCACAGCGCCGGGTCCTGCCAGAGTGTGCAGTCTAAATATTTGTTTAATGAATGAATAAATTGTATGGCATGATTTCTAAGTGTACGCTTTTAGTAGTTCTTGGTTCTAGGAGCTAGAATAAAGTGAGTCTTAAAAGTAAGGGTGAGAAAGTGCCCCGGACTTGTAAGTGTGGAATATGTAGATAATATTATACCACCTGCTGTTCTGTGTTTCATGTGTTGCAACATAATATAGTGAATGCATCCATGCATAGCTAAGTGTCTCATTGCTGAAAGAAGTTTTTTGTGGGCTTGAGTAATTTTAGGTTAGCTGTTTCACACCCCTGCAGTGTGAAGCTGACTTAAAGGCTTCAGTTGTTGGAATTTTTCATTTCATGTATTCCACGCCTGGTTATTTATTTACCAAAAGAAAGACATTTGTCAATCTTGACGTGGCCACAGGTCTTAGTTTGGAACAGACAGAAGAAATGCGAGGGCAAGAATGCCAACAGGTGGCACAGGAGGTGGAGATACCTGGCTCCATGCCACTAATTTGTTGCCTGTAGTTGATTTCTACAGCACGGTGGAAAAGAGGAGCCGCAAGATTAGGCAGATCTGGGTTTGAATGCTGGTGCCAGTATTAATGATCATGACAATAGCTAATGCATAGGGCTTACCAGCTGCCAGGCACTCGCTTAACTGCTTTACATATATTAACTCATTTAATCCTCACAACATCACGCTTGGGAGATGGGTACTATTGTTCTCCCCATTTTACAGGTGATGAAACTGAGGCACTTGCACAAGTTAATCCAGCTAGTTCATGGCAGAGCTGGGTTTCAAACCAAGGCAGTTATATCTCCAGAGAGGTACTCTTAAGCACATCTCTTTGTGGTCTCTCAAACAGCCTGGGCTGTCCTTTGTATGATCTTAGAAAGGACACTTAACCTCTCTGAACCGTCAGCTTCCTCATCTTTAAAATGGAGGCAAGAATACTTTCCTTGCAGAGCTGATGGTGAGGATTAGCACCTTGCAGGGTTCCTTGCACCTAACAGACTCTCATTAAATGATAGTAACTACTGCTGGTATTATTATTACCAACTATTTTATGCCTTTAGTCCTTATTTTGAAATAAACTCTTGAAATAGAATACTTGCATCATACAGTTAATATTACCAACTTGTTAATAACTTTACTAATTGCAATGAATAAAAGGACTGAGAAGATCATTGTTAGCTGAGAATTCCTTAGTATCTTTTTCCTCCTCTCAGTATAAGTGGCATTGGCTGCTACGTTTTGATAAGCTATTTGTATGCTCATCCAAATTTTGAGAAAGAAAATTGGGAATTGGGGGAGGGAAGTGTTATAAAAACATTTAATTTTCCTTTAAGTCAAGCCAAGTACTTTCTGGAGAACCCTTGGGAACTATGATCAAACAAAAGCAGAGCTGGATCCTAACCCATTGGGAAGGCCCTCAGGATGGGGACTAATGGCCGTGACTAAAGTGTATTGCGTTGGGGTGCGGGTGGCAGGGAGGAGCTTGTCTATTGTAAACCATTTGACTTGGGTGAGTCATGTGACCTCTGGGAGCCTCAGTTTCTTCATCTACAAATGAGGACACTAGATTGACCATGCTCTTATAATCCTTTTTTAGCTCAGAAACTTTTAATTTTAAATATTTGTCCTCTGTTGACATGATGTAGACTTTAAAACACTTGCTTTTGAAGTAAAAATTTATTATTTCAGGGCCATCATTATTTAGTTGAGCCATTTATGTTCAAATCCACAATCCCTTATCCGAAACTTCTGGAACTTCTGAATTACCTTATAATTAAACATCAGTATCTTTTACAGTGAAATATATGACTGTTCACACAGGAACATATGTGAGGAACATAAAGACTATAAATAACTTCAAGTCAATTTAAGTTTTGCCACCAAGTGAGTTCAGGTCAGGTCAAGTTTTGCTGCCAAATAAGATATGAAAAGATCTTCACTGTTGAGAGTTTGGATTTCAGGATTGTAGATCATTGGTTTGTGTGTATGTGTGTATCTGTGTGCTTGTGTGTGTGGGGTGTGTATATAAAATATATCACTTCCTTACATGCACTAAGTATGGAAACAAATATTCAAAATTAACTGCAATGAGGAAATCTGATAAGTTCAGATAGAATCTCCCCATACCGGGTAGTCACTGCCCCCTGCCCTCCTGGCTCCCTTTTGCTCATTGGCCTCTACCTCCATTTTGGATTAGTGAGATATTGTTCAGTGAAAAAGAAGATTGAAAACTGGGCCCAGCTCAAGTTATTTTTGCCTTGGTGACCAGTTTCTCATACTGGGCCAAGTTCAAGAAAGAAATTAGTTACCATGTTTGTATTTGATTAGTTCACTCGTTGGGCAGATGTTTTAAAGGCAAGTGTTTTAAAGTCTACATCATGTCAACAGAGGACAAATATTTAAAATTAAAAGTTTCTGGGGCTGGCCCTGTGGCCGAGTGGTTAAGTTCGCGCGCTCCGCTGCAGGCGGCCCAGTGTTTCGTTGGTTCGAGTCCTGGGCCCGGACATGGCACTGCTCATCAGACCACGCTGAGGCAGCGTCCCACATGCCACAACTAGAAGAACCCACACCGAAGAATACACAACTATGTACTGGGGGGCTTTGGGGAGAAAAAGGAAAAGAATAAAATCTTTAAAAAAATAAAATAAAATAAAATAAAATTAAAAGTTTCTGAGCTAAAAAAGGATTATAAGAGCATGGTCAGTCTAGTGTCCTCATTTGTAGATGAAGAAACTGAGGCTCCCAGAGGTCACATGACTCACCCAAGTCAAATGGTTTACAATAGACAAGCTCCTCCCTGCCACCCGCACCCCAACGCAATACACTTTAGTCACGGCCATTAGTCCCCATCCTGAGGGCCTTCCCAATGGGTTAGGATCCAGCTCTGCTTTTGTTTGATCATAGTTCCCAAGGGTTCTCCAGAAAGTACTTGGCTTGACTTAAAGGAAAATTAAATGTTTTTATAACACTTCCCTCCCCCAATTCCAATTTTCTATTTTGAGTGTCTTCTTTGCCAAGGCAGGTAATAGGTGAAGCCAGAGACCTGGCCTAAGAGTTGGGAGACAGCCTCTGGCCTGGTTTGAGCTCCAACATAAACTCTGATCCTCAGTGGTTCCCAAACTTATTCCCAGCTGCCTCCTGCCACTCTGTTTTACATTGGTGTCTTTTGTGGGTGGGAAACCTTTCATTGTTAAAAATATATTCTTAGCACCTAAAAAGTGCTTGGTCCCCAGTAGGTGCCAAATAAATACTTGACGGATGGATGACTGAATGAATTGGCATGATCTTAACCAACATCCCTTAAAGCTCCTTTCCAGTAAAGGTATGTTTTCTACTCTGATGCATACCATCTGTAGTTACCTTTCATTTCTCAGACGTGATTGGTCTGTTTTTTTTCGTATGATAGAAGCTGTCATCAGAGATAGAAAGAATTCTAGTTCATCCTTGGTGATCTTTGTCTAGTTAAATTAAAGCCATGATGTACATATGAGTAACAATAGAAGGGAGTGAGTAATTGAATGCCTGAGTAGGCACACAGTAATTGCTTAGAAAATCAGAGGGAGGGAAGAAAATTATGGGTTGAAACATCCTAGAGGA